CAAAATCCCCTGAGACACATTATGGTCTTTACCTCAATTAAGAACATTAAGAACTAATTTGTGATGAGTGGAGGTAATGGTGATGAAACTATGTAAAATAAGGTGGCTTCCCCTTTTGTTCTGAGTCCCAGTGGTCAAGTTGATTTTCAAGGTGCTGAGAGCTTAACCTGGTGACCCAAGCACGTGCAGCGTCTCTTTGGCGAAATGGAATTTTGAAAATTGCGCATACGCCATGTGGCAGTCGTTGGCATTCCTGTCGGCATCCCATCAACCGTCAAGGGAAAGACAGCCAAATGTCAACAACATCTAGAGTGTGGCATTTTCAAATTAAAGCTGCGGCTGCAGCAATCACATCTTTTCCGATTCCTGCAGTTACGTGAAAAAATTAGCTTATGAAGTGAAAAGGAAGAGCTGGAGGATCTGAAAACTACTGCTGATTTAATTTTTGTAGAATTATTTATATTTCAAAATAATCTTTATATGTGCATATATGGTAATTATATGTTTTCCTTAATTATGAAAATGATTAATTTGTTGCAAGTTTTAGATTTTATTTCTCAGCCTATTTACCTTATATATTACGTTTTTAAATATCTTCCTTAACTAATTAAAACAAGATTTTGCATTCGTCTTCCTTATAGCTCCTGCGAAGTGTACGAAAGTGTCGATAGCTTCGCCTCCTTTCAGACCTTTCAAAAGGGAAAACCAAACAAAACCAGTGCTAACGGAAATTGCTGAACAATACCAGGAAATGTAACACGCACACACTCAATTACATGCCACACACGAGCAAACACATCAGTCGAACACACGCACACCCTTACACCCACACACACTCGCAGGCCAGACAGGCGGCAACAGTGTTGGTAGCACAATCCACATTACGTATACGCAGTGAATGCTCGAGTTGAGTTGACTTGCGGCATGTTGACAACACTTCGCAATTGGGTTAATTGTACATCGACGCGCTTTTCGACGAGACCTCCTTTCACCAAGTGAAAAGTGTGTGCGCACACTTTGCCTTAAATATGGGTCAAAGCATTGGCACAAACTGGATTCCGGTGGCTCTGAGCCTCGTGTTTGGGTAAGGATTGTACAGCGAACTTGATTTCTATTCAATAAACATTGTACTTTTGTTGTTTTAAATTGTAATACAAATCAAGAATTTTTAAAGTGGCTTAAAATGTATTTTTGTTAGCAACCTAATAAAAAATTGGAAACTAAAAGGCGGTATTTTGAATTTAATATTTTTATTACATAAATGTATTTCTCTGGACAAATAAAAAGTATATTTCTAAAATATTAAACAAAACCCTTCAATGTTTTCTTATAATTAAAAATTATTAATAATAATTTTTAAAAATTATTGATAATTTTTCAATCCACATTTTTAGCAAAATGTAAAAGGCTTTAAAGCTCCACAGATTTTTTGGTATCCCCTGCTAAAATATTATTTTTAGCCCTTCAATGAAATATTCAAGTGTATTTAATATCGAATTCCTGGAAAATCACTGAACCCCTATCAGGGGACAAATTTTACCAATAAAGCCGCTCAACCAATATGAGAGTTCTTCAGTTCCTCCAGTCAATATATTTTCCTTATGACGCCCACACGTCGTGGATGTTTGGGTTAGCTCAAGTGCCATAAATATGCAAATCTATTACGTGATTTCTTTTACAGATTGTTTGCAAAGCAAGCCAGCCAAAAGTAAGCTCAAAATGGTTGAATTCAAAATGGGCTTTTAGGGTATATGGCTTGATATACAAGTTTGCTAAAATTATTTTTGATTGAGGATTTGCTTAAAGTAAAATTTAAGGTTAAACTTGATAAATTTACAAAAAATAACAGACATGTTTTTATCTCACATATTTGGAATTAATTTTGCTCAAGATATATGTGCTAATAATATTGCATCATGCGTTTTAGTTTTTAATTTTTTGTGGGCTAACTTTTTAAAATTTTTTCTATGCAGGAGAAAATGGAAGCCGCTCCCTCAACACTTGATTTTATAATCAATTATGTGACATTAAACATTTACTTAACCCATTTAAAGCTGATTACACCCGGCAATTAAATGTAAATTAACATGTTCTACTTGCACTTTTTGTTTGCTTTGCCAGCGAAATGATAATAAATTAAAATTCATTTAATAAGGTTGCAAATTTGCATAATTAATGCATTCGCCAGCCACCGGGTTAAATCTGCGTGGCCAAATAAGCCCACAAGGTTTCTTTTGTGGTCAAAATGTCCTTTAAAGCTGAGGAAGTCATTTAAAACGCATTTTAATAGCTGATATTGCAAAAACTTACAATGGATAAAATTAAGGAAGGCGTTGCGAAAGTAATGGCATACGTCGCCTGTAATTTGCATTCAGTTCGTGCATTTCATTTAAATTAATTAATGAAGCGTGGAAAATTTACAAAAGGAGCAAGCAAACGGAAATAATTGTAAGAAAGCCGAGGTGTTACCATACGAATATATTAAACTCATAAATTAAACACTATAAGATCAGTGCACTATTGGTTTTCATAAATTTTAAATAAATAAAACATATATAGAGCTTAATCTACTTACACAACGTAAAACGTAAAACCAATACGACTGGCTTATTTTTCGCATTCCGGCTTTCCCCAACGCCTGCTGTCAAATATAGTCCTTAAATGGCCTTTTAGATACCATTAGCCGGTCCCATAATTGTCGGTTTACTTTTCAGCAGCTGACCAACATTAAAAGTTTTTACTGTCCAGCTTTAATGGCTGTAAAAAAAAGATGAGCGTCCTGAAAAGGAAAATAGAAAGGAGGCAAGCCAACATTTATGACAGCATTTTCATGCTCATATGAACAATCCTTGCCAGATCTCGAGAATTTTTTAGCCTTTCAAATTTTATGGCCTGGCATTAAATTGACGCCAAATGGTGGAGACAGCCAGAGGAAGTGAGAGGAAGGTATTAATTTGCCCTTGGGGTGAGGGCGGATCCTTCCGCCCCAACTCCTCCTGCCACATCAATTTAATGTGCTCCAGCTAATTTGCTTTTTATTAAGAGATGCCCGAGCATTCGCCAACACGGGGACTCAGCAGCTGCAAGAAGGCGTTAAGTGAGAAGGTGGGCGTGGCACGGGGGAGTGTCGGGGGGGGGTGGGGAAGATACCAGGTTGCATGTCCTGCGGAGATCCTTGCTCGCCTACCGTAGACAAACAGCGTGCACAGCATTTACAGCACACGGTTTATTATGCTGTAAATAATGTAAATAAAAGGAAAAGCAAACAGGAGACGTGGAACTGCGTTTGGTTACCCTGGAAGTTAATGACAATAAATTGTAATGGAATGTTTATATTACCATTAAAAAGTTTATTATTAAAGATTAGTATTGATAACCCCTAAAAATAGGTAAAATATTAATAACCATAAACAATATTGGAGTACGCAATTTATTTTGATTGAAAGCTTACAGTGCGGGGTATCAATTTTTGCAAAGAAAAAGGTAAAAAATTACAGAAGCTGTAATTTAATCCGAGCCAGTCAACTGAATTCCTCCGCATCCCTCGTTTTATCCCCTGAATCCTACGTTTTTTAATGCAGTTTCCGCAATTGCAGCAGTCGTCGTGTTCTGTAGTTAAAACATTAAATCGTGAATAAATCGGGAATTTATGGGTGGAGCAAATGCCAAAGTGGCTTTAAAAATTAACAGCATTAATAAACCGGGTAAGCTGTTTTAAAAGGAATAATAAATAAAGACAAACAAAGTGACCGCAGTGGTTAATTAATAACATTAGCGGGATTAAAGAGTAAACTTCGCTGAAAGGATTTCCAATGATTGATTGTCCATGCAGATAGAGTGAAAAAGACAGCGCGAAAAAGAGGAAACAGCTTTTGAATACATAATTCAGCTCAATTTAAGAAGCTTCGATTTTGCAGACCAAAACCAAGTTTCAGGTGTGTGTATTCAACAGAGAAAATAGCACTTAATATACAGAAAATAAAAGAAAATATTTAAAACTTCTGTATATCTACAAATACGATGGGAAACTTTTGAAAGGTATTTGAATAAGTAAACTTGTAAGACTAACTTTTTTTACCATTTAATTCTAGTATCTGCAGAAAAAAACATTTTATTTAATAGGAAAAACGTATTTTAATAATAAGAACTGAATAGATAATAATAATTATCGTTACCTAACAATAGTCAACATTTTCTTGTAAACTAAAGATGTTGCAATTATCTGAAAGGTAGCGAGGCAACACCCTTTGAATCGCCTTGGAAACCGCAGAGAACAAAGAGGCCACCAAATGGCTTATGGCTTATTATTTGTTTGGAAAACAAATGCATGGAAGCATTTCAAAGCGTTGACGTCACAGAACCCGAACACAGCGAAAAAAATTGCATTGACACTTTCATAAATCGACGGCTGACTTATTACCGATAATTGGTTTGAATTGTTATTGCCTGGCCACCGAATTTATTTATTTTCATTCTCCGCTCCACCCGACGCACACGATTTGTTTATAAACAAATGCGCAGCAGACATAAAAGCGGGCACCACAAACTGGAAAACCAAAGAACGATGAACATGAAACGTTCAAAATTGCGGGCATTAAAAAACCATTAGCATAAAATCTAATATTAAATAATATAAACACCATGGCCAAGAAATAAACGCAGTGGGCGCCGACTTTTAGTGCCATAATGGAAGGGATGTGTTCGTATATGTTTAAGGAGCTGTTCGCTAACAGTGCCGAGCAAACAGGTAATCTGTTGGCCAAGGGACCACCCACATAGCCATGTTAACTGCTAGCAGTCGCCTGGAAATTATTTTCGGATTCAGTTAACATTTCGGTAGCCGAGCAAAAGGTAGATGTGTTTCGCACAGACACACGAAGCCAACTTCGGATGAACAGCTGTTCGGCTGCTGGCTTTTAGCCACTCAATGGGCCATCATCATCATCGTATTTGATGTTAGACAGTGAATTTCTTGGGCGGCTTTAGTCGTTGCCTGTCAACAAAGCGATGCGAACGTGTTCAAAAGGCCTTGCTCCTCAAAATAAAATTTAAAATCTGTAGTCTTACGCGAAATGGACTGAAGAACTTGTCGAAATCATCTTCGATTTTGGTGTTGAGTGGAAAAATTTTAAAGTATTAAAAAGTTGAAGTTCATACGCTGAATGCATATTAATTATTATTATTATATTGTTAAATAAAAACCTTATTGGTATGGTATTGTCTTTGAATATCTAAAAACATAAAGATTAAACTGCAGACATCGAAAAGTGTTTTTAAGAAAGCAAACCAACTCAGCAAATCTCTCAAAAAGAATGGGCAAAAAATAACGCAATTTTGTCAGGGTAAATATTTATTTTGCCATATCGTATCGTAAATCTCCCTTAAAATGAACTCCATGGAAATGCTCTCGCTTGGTGCATAAACACAAGTAACGCTTTCCCTAAGCCAAAATATAATACAAGAGTACAAAATACAAAAAAAAAAAGCAGAAACAACAAGAATAAAACAAAAAGTGTCAAATTTATGCGAAGCGGTAAAAGACGACAGCCGGAAATTTATATGGCTTATGAGTTGAGTCGAGTCGAGTTGAGTCGAGTTGAGCTGAAGGATGGAAACCTTTTCATCTGCTGTCTTTGTGTGTGTGTGTGTGTGCTTTAACCTCGAGAATTTTTTATTTGCCTCCTGAAACGCTTTGAAATGTGGCTGAATTGTTGTATTGTTTTGTTTGCGTGGGTGTCAACTTGTTTGTTCTCGTAATTGTGTTGTAAACATATTTTGAATTCGCACTTCGGCCTTTCCTATGGGCACAGTAAATTCCCGAATTGTCAGGAGGAGGCCTGGATAGCAAAAAAACACTTCAAAGTTATGGTTATCACTGGATAGATAATATATTTCCCACCAGACAAACATTGAGCAGTTAGATAAATCAGTGAAAAAGTTGGGACTATTATATATGGAAACATTTTTTAACGTGGTGTAGGTTCTCTACAAAAAAAAATTATATATTAATAAAAATAAAATTTTTAGAAAATTCCGGTATTGTTGAATTTTGGAATCCCTGAAATTGGTTTCGTTTTAAATAACTGTTATTAAAAATTAAAGCATCGTTAGTATTCAAATGAAAAAAATTTTATATATTACAATTTTCTTGAGCATTTTTATGCCTACAAAGCACGAAACAGGCTTTCTTTAATCTGACAACCAGCTTAAAACCCAAGATTACGAAAAATCTCGTTAGAGGAAAATGTGCCAAAGTACATATAATATTAAAGCGCTATATATCCGCAGTCAAGGCTGACAATATGGAAAAGCAAAGCCTTAAAGACTAGGCAAAGTTGCTTTGTTCCTTTTGTTTCGCATGTCCTGAAATTTTAAGTCGAAGAGGGGAAGTAGCTAAAGAGAAGGGAAGAACAGCGACCAAGTCGCATATAAAATGTGATAAAAGTCCTTTACTTAAAATGTGGGACGCACAAAACAAAATTGTTGAACAATCATGTTTAAGTGAAGTTATCCATCCTGTAAAAATAAAAGCCGGGAATCTAACCTATCTAAGCTATTAAAATACATGAAATATTATCATTATTTTAATTGTAACACAGGCTAATATATTGCCAAACTATGTAATATTTATAAATGAATCAAATGAAATATTAAAATACATGTACAATTATACGAAATTACCTTACATAAAATTTCGACTGGTTGATTGAAAGACTACAGTTATCATCACTTTTTTATTTACAAATGAAAATTATTGCCAATTCCGCAACTTCTTTGGCCTTGTTCAATGTGTAATACGAAAATGTTTGAATGAACACATAAAGCCGATGATAAATTTATTCAATTTAGTTACGTTCTCTCGAACTGGATGTATGTATAGTAGTTCTTACCCACGCAACGTTCCCACATGCATAATTTAGGTGGCAGGCATATATTGGCAGACCGGGCTTTATGTGCCAGTAAAATTGTTCGCCAAATTTGTCAAGAAGGCCGGAGGACAGAAAAGAGCCCCACACGTAAGGCACCCATCAAAACTGCTGGAATTCTGAAGTCTTACAACCGATACACTATGGGGCATTTGCCCACATTTGGTGGCCGAAACCCATTTTTTAAAAGTCGTTAAAAATTTTTTTTTTAATCGCAATGAGTTAAGATAACATGGAGGTAAAATGTTACGTACTTAAAATTTTAACAGACCGCACCACTGTTAAGATATCAGCTGTCAAAGTCAGCTGTTTTTTAACAGAAGCACATGCTGTAAAATCGTTTGTATTTGTTCAAACTTTAAAATGTTTAAAAAGCGCATTTAAAACCAATTTTTGTAAAATGTGTGAATGGAAGTCGATTCAGAATGGTTTGGAGTATATGTTTGTGAGCTTAAATTCTAAAAATTGATTGTGGCGTTCCTATAATCTTGTGTAAGTTCTAACCTCAAAAAATTGAAACGTAGTCTTACATTTTTGTTTTTAAATGGAGCAACAAAGTGAGTCCAGCTGAGTCCAGCTCTAAAACTTGTTTTATTTTGTAGAGTGATCAATTCTCCTTATACTCAGTTAATATAAAAGTGCACTTTTGCGCACTTTCTTCAAAATTTAACTTTTAAGGTGCTAACCTAGCAGTAGAAATTTAACACAGTTTGAGAGAAGAAATGGCACTTGGCCAAGCTCGCAAACATTTTTTACTATAAAAAACGCTAAGAACCAGGTGGACCATGAAAAATAAGTCTGAAAAACATAAACATATTAACTAAAAGTAAAGTTTTATACTTTTTTGTTACAGGGTCTTAAAAAATGTTCCTCAAAATACAAAAAAAGTCGATATAATTATTTAAAAAAAGTTAGAACAACGAATTTTTTTTTTAGTTGTTTTGTTTAATAATTCTAGTTAGAAAATAAAAAAAAATATTTTTTTTTAATATTATTCATAAAAAACAAATTTTTAAATCTAAAAAATGGGCGGAGCCACGCCTATTTTTCTTAAAATACATGCCTTATTTTATTATTAACTCGAATCAAAAAACAGATCCCAAAAATTTTGATTAGTTTTCAAGTTATTAATTAATGCCACAAAAACTGGTCATTTGCCCCATAGTGCGATAGTGCGAGTACAAGTGAAACTTTCACTGCAGGGACTGTCAGAATGAAATGCAGCATACTTCCTGGGGCAGACTGCCAAATATTTCACTGTGGGCCATTTTCAGAGGGGGAAAACTTTGGATGTGGGTTATTTTTCTGCTGTTTAAACAATGCAGCTTCAAGACAAAAAGGCTAAATTAATAAACGACTAGAGAGGGTGCTACTGTGCGCGAAAATGGAGGGGAGAATGCCTTTGGAGACCGCAAACTCAATGCAGATAATTAAATGTAATTACATAATGTGTTTGTATTCGTGGCCCTTCTACGTCCATCTACATGTCCATGCATTTTCATTTGCTTGTCTGAGTAATATAGACATACTGAGAGGCACTCTCAGACATACAATAATATGGCAACCATCTTACATTTGATTCTTTTTGATATTAACACCCTAGCCTACATCTTCTAAAACTTCTAGGAAATGTAATTATAACCAAATTCATTTAATTGTTGATTTATAGGATTATTTAACATATTTATAGTTATAATGCATATTATACATAGTCGAAAAACATTTTTAAACGATTTTAGAAACTCTTTAAAGTAATTATGATTCTTTTTGCCTTACAACATTTCACTTGAATTTTTTTGTAGCACGGGCTGCATTTATTTTAACCAGATTTCAACAATACAATCCATTTCTAGGAATAATGTTCTATTCGCTGAAATTTATATAAAACCTTTCCTTCACCTTAATTGCTCGATTTTAACCAAAAAACAAAAATAAATTAAGTTCATCAGATTCGCACAGAGCTGTTTGGAATGAAAGTGTAATTAAATTGCAACAACAATCGGGCAGAAGTATCTGTGTATGCGTGAATATATCTTTATTGCGGCATAATGTGCTTCTGTTATTTGATAAGAGCTTATGACGATGACGTGTACGTTAGCCGGTGTAGAACTGCGACCCTTCTTGCCACGCGGCGGAGTCAATAAAATGTAATTAAATCGACATTGTTATCACCAGCAGACCAACAAACACAGACAGACCCCACTAACTCAATGGCGGTATCTGGGCATTAATTTCAACAAAACAAAATAAATCAGTAACGAAATAACAACTAAAAGATACCCCTTATTTACATAATCTTTACCGATGTATTGAATACCAAAATACTTACGCTTAAAATAAGAAATAAACACGTTGAAAGGAAATTATAGTTTATTTAAAAATACATATAAAAGATACTTTTATAAATGATAAAAAAATGGATTTGCAAATAATATTTGTTTTTCTTTGGTATTGAAAACTCTTTTTGAATTAATTAGTGGGTATATCAATACTTCCTATCTAAACACAGTATTCGCTTGTATTGATGGTCTATATTCGCTAGTCAATAGTCCGATTTGGCTGTTATTTTTTCTGTTTTTTTGTCGGTAGAATGGTTGTTATTGCTAGTGGAAGAAACTTGAACGTAAATAACATTAGCACGCATTTGTTGTTTGTCGGTCAACAACTAAAATTTGTAATTCCTGGTTGGATTTTGACTTTTTTGGTCACTTGAACAGCCACATGTGCCATCTAAAACTCGTTCGGAAACTCTAATTGAATTTAAATTGAATTTAATAGTTAAACATCCTAACGTCCGAAAACTAGTTGGTAAGCTAAAAACAGGGTTAACTTAGACCAGCCAATACCTAAAAGTTGAATCAACTTTTTTTAATCTCTTATAAATCTCTTTAAACTTTTACCAGAGAAAACATGCCCCTAAGAAACTTGCCACTTCAAAAGGTTACCAGAACCAGATAATGAGCTCAAAAATTGAGTTTAATTGGAGAAAGAAAAAGTTTTGCAGCAAAGCAGCCGCAAACCAAATTAATTTCTCAGTGAATTCATCAATGGGGGAAATCGAATAAAATTTGCAAACTAATTGTGCCATGGAAAACTGTAAAAAAATTGTTGCAAAATGTGGAAAGTTTTACCAGAGAGGGGCCGCAAAAGCAAATAAAGTTGACAGAAAAATAAAATTGGGACAAACTTTGAGCTTCATTCAAATTCGTTGACGACCTTTTAAGTTGTTTATCGCCTCTTGAACTGTCCCCTATCTATATCTCTCTTTCACTTTTTAAAGGACTTCCCCTTTTGATTTATAATTTTGTCGGGCTCTGTTGGCCATTGAAATTTATCAAGTGCTATCATTGGGCCCTTTCCTCAAACGCTTTTAATTGAAATTTCCAGCGAAAGGTGGTCCCGAAAGCTATTAAAAA